ATGCTGGTCTAGCCAGCAATGCCAATATCTCATGAAAGAATTGTTGAAAGGTCACTGAACTGAGGTTAGTAGAGATATACTGCATTTACTAAACTCTCACTGATGTTGAATCATCACTAGCTTCACTTGTCTTTTCAACCAAGTAGAGAGGAGTGTGCCTGCTGATGTTAGACATCATCTTCTTGGCAACATGTCAGGCCAGTGACCATGAGCCTCTAGGGCCAAGAGACAGATCCCAGTTCCTTCACTCCCGTGTTGGGCCAAGACCTGCTCTAAAGTGATTCTGTGCTGGTGTCAGTTGGTATCTCGGGGTAAGAACGGATACTGCAACCTTCAGGGATTGGCATTATGTGGTCTTTGCAGTGGAGTCAGTGACTTATTAATCTGTCCTTGAAACGTTCTTTCAGATCTGGGATGGAGTCCCAACTGTCCGTTATAGAATAGTTTTGGAATTTTAGAGATGCTGTAACTTTTTTTTAGGGGAGGCAATGGCCTAGTGGTATTATCGCTGGACTATTAGTCCAGAAACCCAGATAATGTTCTGGGACTCGGGTTTGAATCCCGCCAGGTCAGATGGTGGAATTTGAATTCAATAAATATCTGGAATTAAGAATCTAATGATGACCATGAATCCATTGTCGATTGTCGGAAAAACTCACCTGGTTCACTAATTCCTTTAGGGAAGGAACCTGCCATGTTTACCTGGTCTGGCCTACATGTGACTCCAGACCCACAGCAATTTGGTTGACACTCAACTGCCCTCTGGGCAATTAGGGATGGGCAATAAATGCTGCCTCACCAGCGACGCCCCTCATCTTGTCAATGAATAAAGGAAAAAAAACTTGGGCTCACAAGGATGCTACCTGATATGAGAAAAAGTAATTAAGACCTGGATCTTTTACAATCATTTGAAGTAGTTTATGGAGTGCAATGATACCAGTGATCCCAAATGTGGAAGAATGGCGACTGGATTTTCCCCAAATAAATAGCTCTGGAATAAGATCAAAATCCAAGATGCTTCTAAATTAGTGTACCCTAATTTTCATTCACATCAAAGAATTAAAACTGGAGTTTGAAGTGACGGATGTGAATATTGGTACATCTCCTATTTGGAGGAGTAAAGTTCAGGGCATAGAGTCATACAGTTGTTTTACAATTGCCAGAATCTTGTTTGCAAGGATGCAACAGTAAGCAGAAAGTAAGAGTGAGACAGAAGCTGTTCAGGCTAGGATGGAGATTTTACAAAAGAAGCAATGAATTGTAAGGAATTTGATGGGTAAAGGAACTTTCACTATGGAAACTAATTCATTGTTGAACAGATTCATTATGCTGAAGATTATTGCTTAGCAGACGTGACAGTAGTCTAACTGGTTTGTGTTTTATGGCTAGAGTTTGTGTCTTGTGTTAGCACTGCCATAACAACAGCTGTACAGCTTTACACCATGTGATTGGATGAAAGAGCATAACATGATTGGAATTCTATTTCAGGGCTTTGGTGTCAGAAAGAGGATTTAATGGAGTAACAGCCCTCTGTTTTTCTGGGCCAACGTACAGTTGAATTTTTTTTTCAGTTTGGAACAAATGGCTTATTGATTATGTTATACAGCCACCATATTAAAGACTTTAATATAATTTTGACAACAAAAAGAACACAGCCTTTTATAAGTTAATTTAGCATGTCTCCAACTCTCTCTAATTCTCAATTAATCATTAGCAATTTATGGCAGCTAATAAGATGTTTTAGTTAAAGATTAACATAACTCCAGTATTTAATTCTCCAGAAGAGTTAATGAATGCAATAGTAAGAGCTAGCGTAATACATAAAGTCAGGTTATTGTATCCATGCTTTATGAATTTAGATAAATTACTATTGACCCCATGTTATATGTTGAGCTGAGCGGTGCCTTTCTTTTCTATATAAACATAATATGGAAGTATTAAACTCCAAGCAGCACACACACATGGCTTGTTAAGGAATTGGTCTCCCTCTGCTGAATATTTTGTGCACTACAATTTTGAACCACTAATTTGTCCATCATTTATCCAGGTCTGGCTTCAGAAAAGTGGTGGTTCTTTGGTTGGAGCCAAAGAAAGTTAGACATTTTTATAAAATGAGATAAATGTAACATGATACATTCAGTATTTTACAATTCCCCCATTGAGCAGTGACATCTAATCCCCACTGTTCCCAACTGCAATGCAATGATAGTAACAACAGAATTCACCCTAAATTAGTAAATGTGAAGTCAATGGGTACAGTAGGGGAGAAACTCTTCCTTGGCTGGACTCAAAGGCAGATGGTTGTGGTTATTGGAGATCACTTACCTGAACTCTAGGATACACATGCAGTAGTTCCTCAGGGTTGTGTACCATGCCTAACCATCTTTAGGGCTTCATCAATGACTTTGCCTCCACTAAAAGGTCAAAAGCTGGGATGTTCTGATGATGGCACAATGTTCAGCACCATTCGCGACTTTTCAGATACTGAAGCAGCCTGTTTCTATGTGAAGCAAAACCTGGACAACATTCAGGCTTGGGCTGACAAGTGGCAAAGTAATGATGGCACCACATAAGTGCCAGGCAATGACCATCTCCAACAAGAGAGAATTTAACCATCACCCCTTGACGTTCAGTGGCATTACCATTGCTGAACCCCTCCTGATAAACACCCTGGGGGTTACTATTGGCCAGAAACTGAACTGAACTAGTTGTAAATACTGTGACTACAAGAGCAGGTCAGAGGCTAGGAATTCCTGAGGAACTCATGCCCTGACTCTCCAGATCGTGTCCACCATCAACAAGGCACAAGTCAGGAATATGATGCAGTTACCTAGATGAGTGCAGCTCCAACAACACTCGAAGCTTGACACCTTCCAATGGCACTCCATTTACCACTGATAAAAAGTAGCAGCAGTGTACACCATCTACGAAATTTACAGTGACATACCAAAGTTCCTCTCAAGGCATCTTCTCGACTTGCAAACAGCAGACAAATGGGAACGTCACCACTTGCAAATTCCCCTCCAGGTCAAGCACCAACCTGACCTGCATATCTCTGTTCCTTCACTGTTTTTGGGTCAAAATCCTGGAACTCCCCAACAGCATTGTGGGTGTCCCTACACCCGATGGACAGCAGTAATTCAATAAGGCAGATCATTACCATCTTTTTCTGAGGCAATTAGGTGGCCTAGGTGATGCTCACATCTCTCAAACTACTGAAGAAAAATCAGCAACCTACAAGTCTACTGTTGTTCTGAAGCTGAACTGGAGTAGCCATAGAAATGGTAAAGTCGGGGATTGCAGCCTTGGAATTCTGCTGGTCTTGGAATTTGGGACCACAATTATCTAATGTAGGCAGTTAACCATTGGTAAGGAATTTTCAGACAGTTTAATAAGTTTGTCGAGGAGGAGCAGCTTAGATTTGATACATAATGGGTAATTAGACAAAAGTATATGACATAATAATTGAAGGTGGTTCACTGATAACAGGACAAATAAGACAATTGGCTCAAATGTGTTAAGTCAGGCTGGTCGCTACTATACTGCAGAGAGACAAAAGGTTATGGACAGGTTCAGAATACTCCCTTGTTTTTATTGATAAATTTGCTGACTTACTACCTTGATTTCATTGATTGAAAATTGCCTCAAATTTTGCGGTTGGCTGGGGTGGGATGAATCATTAATACCAGGGAGAACGGCGACAAGTTATAGGAAAACATTAATAAACTCATAGAACAGGCAAATAATTGTCCAATAAAGCTAACCAGTAAATGTGATGTTCTACATTTCGGGAGGAAAATAGGAAGTTAATTTGTTACTTGAAAGATGCATATCTAGGCAAGGAGGACGATCAAAGGGGTATCTGAATGCAAGTATACCGACAAACGACAATACCTCCCAATCACGAACCACTTCAACTCTCCCTCCCACTGCCTGAACGACACGTCCATCCTGGGCCTCCTCCAGTGTCACAAAGATGCCAGCTGAAAACTGGAGGAACAGCACTTCATTTTCCGCCTTGGAACCTACAACCTAATGGTCTCAATGTGGACTTTATGAGCTTCAAAATCTCCCCACCCCCGACCTCATCCCAAGACCAGCAACCCCTCCTCATCCCCGCCTCAATGACCTGTCCGTCCTGTCTCCGCCCATCCGCTCCACTATCCACCTCCTATCACCGCCTCTTCCCCTCTCCTATTTATTTCAGAGCCCCCTTCCCCTTCCCCATTTCTGAAGAAGGGTCCAGACCCGAAATGTCAGCCTTCCTGCTCATCTGATGCTGCTTGGCCTGCTGTGTTCATCCAGCTCCACACCTTGTTATCTCACACCCCAGCATTGGCAGTTCCTACTATCTGTACCAATCACTGAAGTTGTGCTTCATTAAAAAGCTGACCAAAGGCTAATCTTTATTTCTAGATGGATAGAAATGATAATTAGGGAAGTTATGGCATCAAGACTATATTTTGAGCACTCATGCAGTTCTGTTTGCAGTACATCAGAAGGAAATAGAGACATTGGAGAGAGTGCAGAGAAAATTTACAAGGATTATATTGATACACATGGCTGTATATAATCAGGAAAATATTGACAGGCTAGGTCTATCAAGAAGGCTGACAGGTAACCTAATTGTGGTCTTTAAAATTCTGAATAGTTTTTATACAGGACAATGTTTCCTCTTGTGGGGAGGAACATAATTACAATCAGTATAAGATAGTCACCAAGAAATTCATTAGATAATACAGAAAAGAAAACTCCTTTTGCACAAGAGTGCTGAGAATTTGGAACTGAAAACCGCAGAGTGGTTGAAATAAATCATAAGATGCATTTAAGCAGAAACGTTTGAGAGAGAAGAGATTAGATGGTTAGATGGTATTTTTAGATGAGAAAGTCTCAAGTGGCTGTTTGGACAGATTGGTCTGTTTTTGTGCCCTATAACCTAATGTTGTCCTGTGTAGTTAAATTTGATTTATCACTAATTATGTCTCTTTATTTTCTTGCAGTATACAATTGGACAGTGGATGAAACGATGGATTGGTTAATTAATTTTGTGGAATTGCCACAATATGCCAAGGTTTTCCAGGAAAACAACATTCGAGGAGTTGGCCTACCCAGGTTAGTTTTGAGGGAAACAGTTGACAGCTGGGTTTTCTGTTCTGCTGAGCGTGCTGATAATGCCCTTGAAACTAAATATGGAGATGCTGGTGTTGAACTGGGGTGGGCAGAGTCAGAAGTCACATGACACCAGGTTGTAGTCCAACAGGTTTATTTAAAATCACAAACTTTCGGAGCGCTGCTCCTTCATCAACTGAAATAAACCTGTTGGACCATAACCAGGTGTCATGTGACTCCTAACCTTGAAACTACAGGCAGTTAAAAATGACATGAAGTTATCTTATACCCAAGTTAATTTCTCACTTATTACTTGTGAGGCTTGACTCAAGAACTTTATGAAAAAATACCAAATGAAAACATTTCTGAAGAAGGGTCCTGAGCCGAAACGTCAACGTTCCTACTCCTCTGATGCTGCCTGGCCTGCTGTGTTCCTCCAGCTCCACTCTGTGTTATCTATGAATGAAATGTATTAAACTACAAACCTTGGTTCAAACATGAACAAAAGAGCTCAATTCCAGAGGTGAGGTGAGCGTGACAGCCCTTGATATCAAGTTCACATTTGACTGAGTGTGGTATCAATGAGCCCTAGCAAAACTGGAACCAATGGGTATCAGGAGGCAAACTCTCCGCTGATTGGAGTCATACTTGGCACGTAGGAAGATCATAGTGGTTGTTGGAGGCCAGTCCTCAGCTCCAGGACATCTGTGCAGGAGTTCCTCGGGGTAGTGTCCTAGGATCACCCATCTTCAGCTGCTTCGTCAATGACCTCACCTCCATCTTAAGGTCAGAACTGGGGATGTTCGCTGGCGATTGCACAATGTTCCACATCATTTGCAATTCCTCAGATACTGAAGCAGTCCATGTTCAAATGCAACAAAATCTGGACAATATTGGGCTGATAAGTGGCAAGTAATATACATTGCAACACAAATACCAGACAATGACCATCGCTGGTAAGAGATAATCTAGCCACTGCCCCCACCGTCAACATTTTAGCGTTATCATTGACCAGAACCTCAGCTGGGCTCGCCATATATACACGCTACTAGAGCAGGTATGAGACAAGGAATGCTGTGGCAAGTAACTCACCTCCTGACGCCCGAAAACCAGTCCGTCATCTACAAGGCACAAATCAGGAGTGTGATGAAGTACTGGGATAGTGGGAACTGCAGATGCTGGAGAATCTGAGATAACAAGGTGTAGAGCTGGATGAACACAGCAGGCCAAGTAGCATCAGAGGAGCAGGAAAGCTGACGTTTTGGGCCTAGACCATTTTAGGCCGGAAACGTCAGCTTTCCTGCTTCTTTGATGCTGCTTGGCCTGCTGTGTTCATCCAGCTCTACACCTTGTTATCTGTGATGAAGTACTCTCCACTTTCCTGGATGGGAGCAGCTACAACAACACTGGAGCTTGACATTGTTCAGGACAAAGCAGCCATCAAACATCTACTTCCTCTAACACTGGCACTCAGTAGCAGCGTCCCAAACACATGACCATTTTCATTTCAAAGGGCAAAAGCAGCATATATATGGGAAAACCACCACCTGTAAGATCCCCTCCAAGCCACTCACCATCCTGACTTGGAAATATATCACCGTTCCTTCACTGTCGCTGGGTCAAAATCCTGGAATCCTCTCCCTAAAGGGATTTTGGGTCAACCCACAGCAGGCAGACTGCAATGATTCAAGAAGACAGCTCACCACCACCTCCAAGGGCAACTATGGGCAGACCACAAATGCTGGCTCAGCCAGCAATACCCATATCTCATGAATTAATATAAGAAAAACCAGAGTGGGCTGTTCAGCCCATCCAATCTGTGTTTGTGTCTAGCATTTACATGAACAATATTCCTAATCCCACATGTATATCCTGTGTGATAGAAAAATCCCTTTTTTTTTTGAAGAGAAGGAAGAGTAGATGTCATATGTCTGATGTCCAATCAATGTTCTACACACCATTTTATCCTTCACCTCAGACCACCCATACAGAATCAGTTACCATTTGACTCATTGCTGTTTTGTGAAATGTTGCTCTGTGCAAATTGGCTACTGTATTTTCCAACAAAATGAAGTGACTGCAATTCAAAAGTAAATTATTGTCTCTGATGTATTTTGGGCCATGCTGAAGATTTAAAAGTCACTTTAGATAAATACAAGTTCTTTCTGTTGATAGTGGCTATTATTTCCTACCTTTTAACCCATCTCAAATGTGAATTGTGATTTTATTGAGCGATCTGTATTTGTTATTGCTTGACAAGAATCTGCCATGATCCGGAGTTAACCAACAATGTCTAAATTGTCTGATGGCCAATAACCTAATTTTTACTGCCTGTGCTTTGTTACATAAGAATAATAAAATCCCTACAGTGGGGAAGCAGGCATTCAGCTCATCGAATCCACACCAATCCTCTGAAAAGCATCCCACCCAGGCCCACCCTCCTACCCTATCCCTGTAACCTTGCATTATCCGTGGCTAACCCACCTAGTCTGCACATCCCTGGACACTATGGGACAATTTAGCATGGCCAATCTACCTAACCTGCACATCTTTGGACTGTGGGAGGAAACTGGAGCATCCGGAGGAAACCCACGCAGACACGGGGAGAATGTGCAAACTGCACACAGACAGTCGCCCGAGGCTGGAGTCGAACCTGGGTCCCTGGCGCTGAGGCAGTAGTGCTAACCACTGAGCCACCGTGCTACCCTCATCCATTGTGAGATTATGTATTTGTTTATGCTTCAATTAAAATGAAGATCCATGCATTCTTATGTTCAATATCTACAATGTTTAGGTGAGATTTCGGCAATGTCGAGTTGTAGCCTAAAGGAACAAAATTAGGCCATTTGGCCCATCAGGTCTGCTGCAACATCTTCAAAGTTCCATCTCTGCTCTTCTATTATAGCTCTCATGAAATGAAAGCTAACACTGTATTTCCCTTCCTAGCTGCCAACTAAATCTGCATTTAAACCTTAAGAGAATCTTGAACTAGTGCTTCAGATTTCTGAAGCCTTTCCCAGTTTAGAAAATAGTCTGTGGCTCCTGCCTAAATGCATACCTCACATTTTTCCATGTTGTATTTCATCTGCCACTTCTTAGCCCACCCTCCTAACAACGACTGAGGTCAGGTAACCAGCTTATAGTTTCCTTTCTTCTGCCTCCCCCCT